TATATATATATATATATATATATATATATATATATGATGACACTATATTCCGGGATATCATCCGTTCGCTCGTTGAACTCCGACTGGAATCCTGCATCCGACTGGTATCCTGCAAACCCTGCATCCGACTGGAATCCTGCAGACGTTTCGCCAGAATCTCACTTGGCATCTTCAATGCTCGCGCTCCGAAAACACTTCGAACACTGGAGCGCGAGCCTTGAAGATGCCAAGTGAGATTTTGGCGAAACGTCTGCAGGATTCCAGTCGGATGCAGGGTTTGCAGGATTCCAGTCGGAGTTCAACAAGCGAACGGATGATATCCCGGAATATAGTGTCATCACATTTTTCCATCCCTGAATCGATACGTGAGAATATATATATATATATATATATATATATATATATATATATATATTCTCACGTATTGATTCACGGATGGAAAAATATGATGACACTATATTCCGGGATATCATCCGTTCGCTCGTTGAACTCCGACTGGAATCCTGCATCCGACTGGAATCCTGCAAATCCTGCATCCGACTGGAATCCTGCAGACGTTTCGCCAAAATCTCACTTGGCATCTTCAATGCTCGCGCTCCGAAAACACTTCGAACACTGTGTTCGAAGTGTTTTCGGAGCGCGAGCATTGAAGATGCCAAGTGAGATTTTGGCGAAACGTCTGCAGGATTCCAGTCGGATGCAGGATTTGCAGGATTCCAGTCGGATGCAGGATTCCAGTCGGAGTTCAACGAGCGAACGGATGATATCCCGGAATATAGTGTCATCATATATATATATATATATATATATATATATATATATATATATATATATATATATATATATATATATATATAATTTATAGAAAAACTATATATTTATGAATAGTCTCAGAGACACTGTTCAAATATTTTGCTTACATTCGGTATTACACTAATTGGTCTATAATTATCGGGACCCGATCTACATCCTGCTTAATATATATGATCAATGAAATATCCGCGGTTTTAAACTGAAATAACTAAGAATGTAAAGTGCCATTTTTTTAGATGTGACACTCGAAAATCTGATACAAGTTTACAATTTTAATGAATTCAATTAAAGTGGCAATATCGAAAACCATCGATTTTTTACTAATGCCATTTTATGTTTTTCTTGATGCTTATGATTTTTTCCGTCAGCCTTTTCAGTATTATCGTTGACTTTTGGGACACACTGTACATATGTTTAAGAAAAAAAATACCTTAGAAGAAAATAATATAAATTTCCGTTTATTTTGATTTAAGGGAGTATAATTTTTCATTCGAAGAATAGATTTGTCTTGAAACAAAATAATTCAGGTATAGGTTTGTTTTATCTCGAAAAACACTTCCATTTGCTCTAAAATAGTATATGGTCTTGAAAGAAAACTGTGGAAATTTTCATTATTTCATTTTTGATCAAGAAAATTATTTTGTCTTGGAATAAGAATCAAATGGTTTTGTTTTGAATGAGCAAATATTTTCCTTTTAGAGGAAAAGGTGTCTTAGATTGATACACTCAAGAAAATATTCTCTTGGTGAATAGGAAAGCACAAATTGTTTTACTACAAAGCAATTTGCTTTGATCTAAGAAAAAATTTTACCGTGTAGGGGTGATAGGTTTTAAACTAATAGGGGACATTCTCAGACTCAAATATTATTTCAATTATAAAACATGTAGGATTATGTAAGTGGAAAAATTGTAAGTTTTTTGTTTTTCAACGTATTTATGTGTTTTGTAACCTCGTTTACTGTAACATTGAGTTAAAAACATTCAACAACTTTGTTTTAGCAGCCATTTTTTCTCCTATATTGATAAAATATTCGTCAAAGAGATTTGCCAGGTATGTTTTGTATCTGTATCATGTGAAATAATATTTTTGCCTATTTATGAAACCGTATAATGGTTGCAATATTATAGAACAATAAACAACCAAAACAACTCGTCTACATATTAATTTTATTAGATATAGCACAAAAAATAATAACTAATAAATTAACTGCTGATTTTCTTTCATTTTTCTCTTTTTCTAATTATGTAATCTTTCGCTAGTTTCGGTAAACCCGAAATTTTGTGATGAGTTTGACTTACATTATTATATGCCTCTATTAATCAGAGCGAATCATTTACAGTAATGTCACGATGAAATTTTCAGAAATACTGGACATTCAACAAAACTAGATTTGACCCATTCACATGTTAACATGTTTTTCCAAAGCTGCTTTGCAAACCTAAGTTCCCTAGTTGACAAATAGTATAAAATAGGATACAGGTATGTATTGCCGATGCATTCCCGAACGGAACATGGAAATAATTACATGTAAATTTTTTGGTGCCCAAATGATTATGATGATGACTAACTCAGTGCTGAGTTTGAATAACTTTTAATAAGCCAATCAAATTCCAAAAGGTCAGTACAATAAACACCAGCGAATATTTTCCATGACGCTAATTCCAAAACTTGACGACGTTAAGCTATACAATAACATATCAAATAAAGGTTGGTTTACAATAACGACATAAAGATCAAACTCATACTCGGTTCTTAAGACCTCCTCGTCCCTTAAAGCGTTCTGGGAATGAATTTCATTTAAATGATGGTTTAAGCAACAAGGAATTTGTCCCTCAAGTTTTTTATTAAAAATAATTAATAATTATAATAAAAATATTGGTACAAAACATTGCTACGAAGAATTTTTATTTTTTAAAGTAAATATTGAAACAACCCTCCATTATCAATTAAACAATATGCCAAGGGAACATAAAATTCCTTTCTAACACTGCTTAGTTGATATTGTGAAATCCTGTCACATTCGAAGGAAGTTGCGTTGTGTAACTGGTTAACATTTTCAAAGGATTCGGCTCCTGAGACAAATAATATTCCCGTTAAAAGTATTTCCCAAATACTGCCTAACCATACGAAAATTATGGGCGGGACAACCATCGACCTGGTACCAGATCTCCTAATCTTAGCGAACAACTTCTTCTAGTGCGGGTTCAATTTCATTTTGTGTAAGTCCAAATAGGTTTCTGCCTCGAGGGCATAGTCCATAAAAAATGACCCAACAATCTGATTCCTACTATAACATTTATTTTTTGAGGATATTGGTTTGAGTATGAACAAAACGATATTCATTGTCTTGGCTCCAATACCGACAGTTTTGAACATTTGGTTCGTTGTTGAGTGTTGTGAGTGAACACTTTTCAGTAAAACAAATATTTTTTTAGAAATCCCTATTCCCTATCCCCATTTGAAAACAAAATGCTACTCTTCTTTCTTCATCGCTTTCCGGCCTAATGATAGTGTGTAAAATCATACTTTAGTCAGAGTCCGATTTTTACCTTGGCGGAGGTTTTGGTTGTCGTAGGAACAGAATTTTGACAATCGCAAGGCTACCATTTTTCGTAAAAAAAATATTTGTTGACAGTACAATACCTAAAAGGTTTAAAAAACATTATATAAATAATTTACTGGTCCAAAATGGAAGCCTGAGAACTTACTCAAGAATGAGTTTAAAAAATTGTATGTTTTATTTTCATCACGCTCCTGCGGATTGTAATGAAACTTTCGCTCAAAATTGAAAAGCATTCGAATTCCGATTTTAGGTCGAACCAACCTTTAAAAACATGTTCTATGCTACCTTACATAAAACTTGTCCATTCCTCCTGCGTCGGTTTCTTTGAAAAATGTTCAATGCTTCATGTGATCAAAAAATATAGTCCTAGAAGCAGCTTGTAAACTGTTTTACTATGCTCCTAGTACCATTCGCAAAGAATACTTTGATGGATGTAAAAATGATAATGCTATTATAGTGATAGGTTTGTTAGTTTTTTTTTTGTCAATATTACTATTCGTCGCCTTCGAGACGAGACAACAGCGGCCACTCTCTGTTGCCTCATTCCTAACACTGCGTCTGTATTCCCTGTTTTTTCCTGAGGAGATTTTAATTTAATCAAAATGTGGAGTGTGGATTTAGCGACTATTCTTTTTGCATTAAGTTAAAAATAGATAGTTTCTCCTTTCCCCATATTAATATTGGTAAAATATGGCAGCACCTGTAGTTAATTAGAATAATTCTGAGATGTTTGTTACTCTCTCGACCGAACTAACACATCCAAAATTAGAGTCTGTTTCAAAATGGTGACTTGCAAGGTAGCTAGGTAAAGAATTAGGTCATATTTCAAGTTTACAATCTCAAGTAGCTCATTTTTCAATATATCTTTAATAGTTCTTTTTAAATTGTAGTCTTATTACAATGTCTTTTTTTGTCTTACTTCTCTTTGGTGACCTTTTCCAGTCGCGTTCAGTCTCGTGCACAAGTCAGTATATTACTGACTGTCCAACTCCGGTCACATTCTTGCAACTCCGAATGTTGAGTTTTTGTTGCGATCGTATTGAGAATAATATTTTTTTCATTTCCAAGAACGGACTTTGCCAACTGCCGCAAAGTAACTGTAGATCTTATTTTAAATACCAAGGGTAGGTAGGTCAACTACTTGTGCTTACAAAACTGCTAATGTCCATAAGTTTTGTTTCAATAAAGATTTATAACTCCCATGCATTAAGAAACAGGAATATCGATTTAAGTAAAATGAGTACATAATCGACATTCATTCCAATCAAACGATGTTTGCCTTAGATATGATGATAATGGCTTACCAGCGAGCTATTGATTTGAATTTATAGTAAATATACACAAACATCGACTTTGGAAATATGAGGTGCAACATAATAAGCGATTACCATTGTAAATTAAATCCGATGGAAGTCATATGGGCTTAATTGAAGCGATTTGTCGCCATAGGTTCATTAGGGACGCGACCCCACAGAAAATGTGTCCATCCATCGATTTATCTGTAATATGTGCTTGTTTCTATTGGGCCAACAAATATGTAGAACAGACACTTAAGTAGCAATATATAACGATTAAGGTTGGGCAAGATCGATTGTTTTGCTGAATATTATACTCATCCCTTACCGAATTCCCCCAGGCAGCCACCTAGGTGGAAACGACGAGCGCGGAAGGTTTCGGGCAGCAATCGCCCCACCTCAGGGACGTTTTCTGCGACGGACTGTTCCTGGTCCTAAATTTTAGCGACAACATCGGCTTGGAGTGACATTAACCCGAACTAAATCGTGTGGAACCTTAATTTTCGAATCGCGGGTCACTTTGCAGGGTTGACGGTTCGGAAGGAACTGCCGATCCAGAGTTCCAGATATCGATCCAGACCGCGTGACGTCATATGGGCGACCCGGAAGCCCATTGGTCGGGCGTATATGGCGGGAGGCGGGGTTTCGCCTACGCGTCTTTCGTCAGGGAGGCGCGGGACAACCGTTTTAAGAAAGAGAGGGTTGTATTTGGTGGTTTTTGTTAAACGGTTTCGGCGTGCGTTATATTCGAGCTGTGTGCATCTATCGCGTATCTGCTTCATCCTCGAAATGGTTATATGCGTGGGAAACCTTGGGAGGATCTTTTAGCTCTTTATATGTGATTCGCATCGCCTAATTTCGAGTCTTTGGCTGGAATTGTCGCTTTTTAGGTTGTTGAAGATATATGGTCAGGGCGAAAAAAAAACGTTTTGTACAGTCGTTTTTATTTATTTTATATTTTTTCCTCTACATTATTCACAGTGTAAGATAGTGGAGTTGGAAGTTCAAAATCTATGCTCTGTTTCTTTAAGCGAATCATTATCCACATTGAAATTATGATTTTATATCTTAGAGTTACGTTAGCAATGTCTATTTTGTATTCTGTGCCTTTTGGTTGTGGTCTGTGTTTTGTTTCAACCAGAAACTAAGAGGAATAACAGAAGAACTATAGAACTATGGTGGTGGTACACATGTTTTGTAATAAAGATTCAGTTAGAAGAATTCGTGGTTGTTGAAAAATCAAAAAGCGAGAAAATAGACTAAATTAAAAAAAAAGAGAAGCAAAATAGCTACTGAAAAGAAAGACGAACTGATCTTGCAAGTGTTTGATGGAGGGGTATGACAAATGGAAATTTCGTCTTATCTTGCTGCTGCAAATGAAGGATTGTGACGATGTAATTTAAAGGCAAGAAAGACCTGAAAGAATCACTGAACTGGAATGGAACAGGAAGGTATTTTGGAGGAACTAGGTATTGAATTTAAAACTAAAACTAAAATTTATGAAGACAACACAGGAGCAATAAGTCTTGCAAAACATGGCAAATTTTCAAAGAATTCAAAACACATTGACGTAAGTTATCATTTTATTAACGATTTTTACAAAAAAGGTCTAATTGATGTCAAAGTAAACACTGATGATCAACTCGCGGATATACTTACAAAATCACTTGGAAAAGAAAAATTTCAAAACCTGCGCATTCAATTAAAAATAATATTTGTGTTTGGCAATTAATGAATCTCTTTTTTTTACGATACAAAATCAAGAAGGTATGTTAAATTATGATTTTGTATCTTAGAGTTACGTTAGCAATGTCTATTTTGTATTCTGTGCCTGTTGGTTGTATGTGTTTTGTTTTGACCAGAAACTAAGAGGAACAACAGAAGAACGATAGAACTTTTATCATTTTTAACACAAATAATTATTAAACTGTAAAACTTAGTTGTCGTAGTCGTATTCCATAGGCGTAGATTGTCAAGGGCAAGGAGAAGGACAGGCCATTATCCTACATATGCCTTAATGTTGGAAATTAGAATCATATTTGTTGGCAAAATTCTCTCTTACAAATGCCTAACCTAAACTTAACATTCGAAATTGACAAATATTCGGTCGACTTTTGAACGTGGATAAACGCGGCGCAGCAGGGCACCAAAAAGAAGTACAGAACGAAATGAAACTGTAATAAATGACGATAAAAAATGCCAACAGATTAATAATATGTTTTACCACCTGGCTTGGCCAAAATACTTTCTAAAGAAAAGAGATAATATGTTATTTCACCCATGGGTAAGAAGTAATTGTCGAAAATTTTAAAGGAAATGAATTTTCGTTACGGAAAACGTAAAACAGAAAACCACATTTAATAGACAAAGTTAGAAATCTTCGAAAGGTAAATGAGAATATCTATACCGTTGGCCGTGGCAGGATAAAAGCACCCTCGAGAAAAGGTAAAACATAAATAATTTCTTACATTAATAGGAAAAATGGATTTATGGGTGGTTGCTTACTAGCATTTCAATCAAAACGGATTGCAAACTATCGAGGACATGAACTGACTTGACATGACTCCTTCCAGCATAAAATCCTATTCCTCCTGGGCCTGTTATAGCCTTGGATAATCCCATTTATTGGTTTTAGCAAAAAATCATTTATTCTGGTGCATTAAGAGATATTTGCAAATTACTGTTTCATTTCTTACAGTGGCGCCTACTATTTGTATATCGCACGCAAATATGCCTGTTGAAACAATGTGAACTCTGTCACTATTTTCTAAAAGACATTGGGTCGCAAGTGCGTAAAGATGCTGCCGCATGGAATAACAGCAGTGCGCAAGGTTGGACAACACACCATACCTTTTAATTTTCTAATCACCAAAACATTTAATTTTCCCTCAATAACCGTAATAAACAAAATAGAGAAAAAAAAAAACAACATGAAACGCATGTTTTTGGGGGGAAAACGGTACGCTACTGATATATTTCCAAGTGAATATGGATAGTGTAGTTATGTCTGCAAAGTTACCTCTTGCATTTGGTCAGATGCATCCCTATTCACTCAAATATTTCAACTGATTTTTGAAGATTCAAATCTGCTTATCCTAGAATAAGAAACAGTTTGTAAACATCGTTGTCATCACCCTTTGTTTACTTGACCAAAAATGCTCATTTCATAAAGTTCTTGAACTTAGTTCCTAGGTTGCTTGTAGAGGGCGCTAGCTACTTTTCCTTTCAATGGGATATCTTCATTAATGTAGAGGGTGCGTAGTGAAAATTATTGATAATTGACTATAACTGAAAGACTATGTTTTAGATGTCAGTTTCTTTTACAGGACTATATAGCCCATACAGAAAAGCTAAATCTTTAGTATTTAAAGTTTTCGTCTATTGTTCAGAATGTTCTCGGTATTCCGTGCCATATAAGAAATAAATTAGATGTCTACTTCAAATTTAGAAAAAAAGTAAAAGTTCGTACCCACTCCCAAACAGTAGAAATTGGGTGCACTCAAGAGTCAGCAAGTAATTTTTTAAAAATTTTGATTTTTTTTTATTTATTTTCGCTTCCAGGAAAACATAGTTTCCTCCAAAACGATTCACCCGAACGGCAAATTTTTGGAACCGTAGAACGTGGGTCATCTGGGGCTGTAACTTTTGTTTCATGCATTTTTTCGATTATATACAGGGTGTTTGTTCAAGTTATGGACAAAAATCAAACAGTTTTTATACTTACGGCTTTCGCCTAACGCACACTCTTCTTGAGATATTTGAAAAACTCCATGTGACAGTCTCTATATTTCGCACTCGATCTAGATGCAATGACGTCATTTACTACTACGGCGTACTGCATGGTTTCAGAAGAAAAAATCTCTCGAAAACCATTTACTCTATTGGAAAAATTCTTCGACCATGAAACGTGGGATATCCTGGGACATAAACTCTATTTCCGGAATTTTTTCAATTATGCGCAGTGTGTCGATTATGGGAAAAAAATCAAAAAGACCCTGAAAATGGCCGTTTTCGTGGGTAAATTACTAGCCTATAAAACATGGGATAATTTGGTTTAAACAGTATCGTAAACTATATCGAGAGAGTTTCAGGTGTCGTCCATCATGCAGTGTGAGGGAATCGGATTTTTTTTGGAATACAATGCTTCGCGATACGCGCTACTAACTCATCCCGCCGACTTTTTTGAAAACAATATTGTTTAATATCGATACCGCTTAGTGTCTGATAAAATCAAATTTTCATGATTTAATGCACACGTACTTGGACAGTCGGCATAATTTGACTTAAAATGGCGGCGCAATTATGAACATAGCTTTCAACAACATCATATGTCAATAGTTTCGGAAGTATTTTTTTGCGTGGATTTTATATTAACGTATTTCACAAGTAATTACAATGGACGTTCCGCAGCTAATCAACATGATTTAAATAATACGGGCATTTAATATCCAAAGAAATTTTTAGTTTTTTCCCGTATAGCTGCAATGAAAGTAAGATTGTAGCTTACGGTTTTCTGGCACATTTAAATAAATTGATTGATATTCCGTGTTACTTTTGAGCTGGATTATCCCTGTATAAATCTACCTATACTTGGTTTGATTCGATAAATGATTAATGATTACTATTTCTACCAATTCGAGACCCCGTATCTATTAATGTGTCATTGTAAAATATCCTGCATGTCTGCAAATAATGGATGTATTTAAAATATGAAACGAGCCAAATTGGAAGCACGAAAAGCTCATAAATATGTTATTACCTACGCGTTTTAGTATTGATCGCGTCTAAAATAAGCAAAAGGTCACGATGGAAGGTAAAAATTTGGGGCGCCTGGATATACATGAGGCGACATCTCGCCGCGATACCAGTCGTTGACACTATCATTTTCTAGGATCGATAATCCGAAAGCGGTTGATCCATTATACAACAGATGGGCTTCTCTACAGGGCTAACGAAGAGGCAAAATAGGTTAGGAATTGCCAGATGCTGAGATTCATTGCATGTTTCCTTACAAGCGCCAATCTAAAGAACTCGCATTTTTTTTTTAATTAAAATGGTAAATAAATAAACCTGCCTTTATTTGTCACTCAGCGAAGGGCAGCTGAGCTGTTGACTTAACCGAGCATGTAAAGAAAATGTATGAAATAACTTACAATAAGGCAAATTTCACAACAAATATCATAAATAAATAAGCAAAGGAGCTACCAATAACAATAAATGTGGAGAATAAGTAATACTGTTGAAATAGGTAGAAACAAAAATTAAAATTATTGACAAGGCTAAGCTACATTTAACAAAAGTGCTAAAATATAACTTATTATATTATTTCCAGTAACAGTTTCTTTTAAAATTTTGTTTAAAAGACGTTATGGATGACTTTCGGAGCAGGCTTACCCCGGGATATCGGTTTAGCAAGTTAACAGACGCATAAGTAAATGAATTATGAGACATAGCTTTGTGCATTTTTGGTATATCATAAAGATTGTTAAAACGTGTGCAACGATTATGAGCATCTTATTTAAACAGGTTTTGTCT